GAGATTTCATCTACTTATGAGAATATCGAGGAAGGAGTCTCTGAAAGGTTGCTTTCGTCATTCGATTTTCCCCACTATTCCTTTAATCGCCAGAATTTCCTCCCACCTTTTTGACTTCAAGCCTTTGTGCGCGTACAATTCCCCACCAATGCGCTTCCACCAATCTCGGAGGGAGGCCAGACATTGCCGCCTCGGCCTCCTCGACCGCTTTCTTGGCTTTTGCTTCCTCTTTGTTGTCGTGCAAAGACAGAATACGAGAGAAGACACTCAGCATATTAGAGATAAAGAAGACGCATGCATCCCACCACTCTTCTGAGGAGGCGTACAGATGTTTCCTCCCTGCCCAGAGGTTCAGTTGATTGCGGCCCCATTCACATGTGACGAACCACTTCCCGAACCCGTGCTATCTTTCGTACCCTTCTTTTGCTTGTACCATACCGACCCCATAAAAGCCCCGATTCATTTTCTTGATTTCGGATGCTGCATTTTTGGCCCCCATCTTTCGGAAGCCTTTTTCGATTCTCAGGTTCTGCTTTTCCTTTTTCTTGCAATTCGGAAAATTCATAGGAAATTGCGTACGCCTTAGCGAGCGCACTGGGAATTGGGTCCAACAGTTGGGAATTCCGGGATAAGCGGAACTTCGACGTGTCCTTTCCGTATGTGTGAATGTTCTTGGTCGCGTCGGGGAAAACTCTCGGAATTTTGTACGAATACGAATAGGCGTAGGATTTTCTTTTCCCACGTCGCCTTTTCGCGCGCGGATATGGTGATTTCAATTTTGAATTAGGATAGAAGCAAGTTGTAACTATTTTGGTGCCTTTTTCTTTCTTTTTGTTGACGGCACCGCGCATGCAAAAACTTTCTCCTCTCTGACCCCCGCATCGCTCCCTCCCTGTTCTCTCTCCTCTTTCTCTCTCCTCGTAACTGTTTTTCTCTCTCTCTCTCTCTCTCTCTCCCTCTTCGCTTTTCGCGCGCGCAATTCTCTTTCTTGATCATCTGAATCTTGGACCTGTCTTGCGCTACTTCTCACGCCTTTTTCTTCTCACCCTCTGAGTCCAACGCACGACGCCCGGTCGATCCGTCGATAACTCCCGCTCGCCAATCAGGTGCGTGGATCAATAGGATCTTCCTATTGCGCAGCGAATCTGATTGGTTGAACATTGAGTTCCGAAGGATCAACATGGCATTCACAGAGCACTCTTCTCAAAGTCTTCTCCTCCTGCTTCTCCTCTTACACCTTAGCTTCCCCGTCGCTTTCTCCCCCTTCTATCCCCTCTGTTGCAACTATAAAACCCGCAAGCGCGTCCGCAAATCTCTCTTACGTTCTCGACTCTCAAGCCAGCTTCTGGGAAGCAGTGGCTAGGCAGAGTGTTTGGTGCGAGTTGGAAAGTCCTGTCGGGCTGACGATAGGCTGACCGGTTGCGCGCTGGATCGCCACGACGGAGTGTGGGTTCTGGGCGAACCGTGTCGAGTCTACAACAACCGGGTGACGATCGCAGTGGTGGGAGTTAGCACGTGGCGGTCGGGATCGTCGGTGCGGGTATGAGGATCGATGATTGGAGTTGAGTGAGTTACTGGCCCGGGGCCATATTGGAATCAACGGCGAATGCGCCTTTGTTGTTGTGGATCTTTCTCTCTGACAACGCTGAACTTTCTTCTTTTGGGTTGCGTCATCTCCTATCTCGACCCTCCCCCCCTCACCTTCCCCTTCTCCTCTATCTTTGAATAATGATGTGTCTCGATGCTTCTCTCCTTCTCTCTCTTTCCCTCCTCTGGATGAGCATGAATCTGTATGCTTTCCTTACGTGAAAGAAYTTCTTCCGGAACTCTTCCATTAGYTTCCTGGGTAATCCTCACGYGCAAGGACCYCGTCTTCTTGTCTTGTGAACGGTGGATGKGTGTGTACTGTGCAAGCAATCCATCTTTTYCTRTGCATGGCTCATTTTTCGSATCTTCCACAGTGAATGAAWGTATGGAAATGCGCGTCTCTTTGRCATTGATTAGACGATTGTCRTCGGGATTTTGTMCRAGAATSCAAGAGTGTTTARATCTGTAGCTTTGAGTGCACTGCGCATACCATCTGCCTTATGCTGTCCGACATCAGCAGCCGAACCACGAGGCGGCCTCGAGAAACAAGGCGCTTGGGATCAACGTTGCGCTGGCTCACTAAACCTGAGCCGCGGATCGGTCCCTTAGTTATATGCATGATCAAGCTGCTGAAGTGTCTTCTCTCTCTCTCTCTCTCTCTCTCTCTCTCTCTCTCTCTCTCTCTCTCTCTCTCTCTCTCTCTCTCTCTCTCTCGTATTGAAGGAGATTGTTTATGAGTTGCGCGAGTGTTTTCTTTTCTTGATGACGTCGCAGGGTCTTTACAATTGATTGGTATGCGGACTGAGTTGTACCCCCCGATCGGGCACCAGCCTCCCGTACCTCCCGTCCCAACACGGCCTTTTCCGTATAATGAGGGAAGGACACGTGTATGTGAGTGGGACGTACGAGAAGCCGTTGCACAAATCGGCGGACGATACTACTTCCCTCCAACAAATCGTTGTTCAGGGTTCGTAGAGGCTGGGTTTGTCATTATCGATACGCACTTTCCACCTTACTCGATATTGTTGTCATTCAACGAGTTGATCGTCATCCCGTGGACGGCAGTAGAACCCCACCGGCCGCGCACTCTATGCACCGAATGCCAGCGTTTTGAGTGCTACGAATCCAAGGGTTTTCACTACCGTGTGCGGAGTGAGGACGAGCGTAAAGAAAGAGCCACGCGACTGAGACCATCTACGTCGGACTCGAAACTGACCATCGAACGACGACGAGATTTGATACGAAAACGAGACACGCGGAGCGTGCCAAAGCCTTTCCGTTCTAAACGACGGGCTATAGCCCGGTGGGAAGACCGACAATACTTTTTGGATTGAATCTCGATTTTTTTTCTTTTCGCGCCGTGCCCGCGCTCGCATCCTGCGACGTGCGAAAAGAATCGACTTGCTTCATTGGACCAACACGGGGGATTTCAGTTCCATCTGTGTCCCCACACTCAGTTTCCAAGAATCCTTGGCACACCCCATCTTGCTGTTTTTCTGGGCCTTTTTCCGCACGCTTAACACTCTGAACGAAAGACAGCACAGGGCGTGAGGTTGCGCGTCACATTCACGGAGTCCAGGCTCATTCAGTAGTGCAGTATTAAGTCTGAAAATACCTTTCCCAAATTCCCACGTTCCGGACCCTCCCCCCAAAGAAAGTACGGGACTACGAGAGTGTGGTCTAAGAGCGGGTAAGGTTGTGTGGAGTCGTGAACAGTGGTATTGCAGATCGGTTGGCTTGTGAGGAAAAAGTCAAACCTGTGGGAAGCGACGCGTCTACATGCAAGCAACTGCGAAGAATACCACGTATATCGTGGGTCACTGGGGTTGGCCAGTCTATACGGGTCTTATAGTTCCAGATCAACCATTAAATCAATTAGTGCATCTAAATCTCTCCTTGCTCTTTCCGTTCGATGGAAGACTGGGTTCACATCATCAAGTGACTTGTTCCAGTCTCCTCGGATGCTGATATCTTCAACATCTGGTAAATTATCCATCAGTAGCTCAAAAAACTTCCTTCTCTCTACCCTATCTATAGGTGCATAAATAGAAACTACAGTCCATTCCTTCCGAGCAGAGGAGAGTTTGACCCACACCCATCTCCCCTATTTATCAAAATCGTGGTCGACTATGACCGCATCTAAATTCCTATTGATGAGAATCATAACGCCTCCTCTCGATTCATCCGTCGCCGGACCGTCGGTGCCCATACTTGTGGTCTGTCCCACTCTACCCCAAGTGCTACTATCTTATCATAATCAAGTTTTGTCTCTACTAAACAAAGAATAGAGATGCGTTCAAAGTGTATCCAGGATTTGACTTTAGATATTTTTCTGCGACCTCCCATATCTCCGAATCCCCGAATGTTCCACGTTGCAACTTTAACCTGTCATATACTGCTATGCCCTTGACCCCCAATCTTTCATACCAGACTTCTGAGTTCCTTCACTGGAGGTTATCCTATTCTGCTACCAGTCTAGCCCTCTCTTTTCCCCAGACTAAACGTGAAATTGGATGGCGAGTCATATTCCTCTCAACCTCTTCTATTTTCCTCTTCAGCATTTCCTCCTCCTTGTTCCTCTTAAGGGCCAGGATTCTGGAGTACACGTTCAGATGATTGGAGAACATTACTGATCCGGTCTGCCACCATTCATCTATTGATGAGAACTGCTGCTTCACTTGGTCCCAGCTGGTCCAGAAGGATTTCATCCAGGTTACCAGTCCCGGATCCTGTAAGTTTTGGGTGTTGAACCTGAAATAACCCTTACCTCTAGCTGTGACCGACGTCTGCAACTGGAGAAGTACCGATTTATGATCCGAGAGGGGGTGCGAGTGCTCCTTGATTGTGTCAACTTGCTCCCATAAGTTCTCCGAAATTATAAAAAAATCCAATCTGCGGCTGATGATTCCTACATCCTCCTGGTGGTTAGAAAACCACGTGTGCCCGTCATCTGTCGGGTGTGAAAGCCGATATGGATCTATCAGGGAAAAATTATCCATTAAATTAATGAGCATGGAGACGTCCGCAGGATTTTGGCTACCTGGTTTAGAGGCAGCCTGGTCCAACGAAACGTTCCAATCCCCCGTTATTATTAAGTTCGGGCAATTAGGAATCAATTCAAGCAAGTTTTCGAAGAAAATCACTCTTTCTCTCTTACTCGTGGGAGCATAGACATTCACAATCAGCCATTCTTTAGCATCCGCCCATAGCTTCAACCAAACCCAACGGCCCCAAATGTCTGCAGCATAGTCTAGGATTTCCATCCCCGCATCTCTGTGTACAAGGATGGCTACCCCTCCTCTGGTGCCCTGGGCAGGCGAACAGATTTGGGGGCCATCCCACCACGTGCCTAACTCACTGATTCTATCCTCACTTAGTTTCGTCTCCTGTAAGCAAGCTATCTGCACACCTTTCTCGTGAATCCAAGACTTTAACCTAGCCTTCTTGAACTTACCTGATGCATCAACCAGGCCTCGTAGATTCCATGTGGCCATGCGAAGTCTACCCATTTGAGCTCTGTCTCCCGCTTCCGTGTTGGATGGGGTGAGCTATCCCGGTCGATGAAGGTTGCTGCTCCCATGGTGCCATGAGGAAGTCTTTGATATACGTGGAGTTCAATTTCTCGTCCCTCGTCAGCTTGCCGTTTAATTCTGCCAGGAATTCCCCAGTTCGGAACGGCGGAACCCTGATTCTTCTGAGTTCTTGTCTTTTACCTTCTGCGAACCAGCCCAASGGAAGGAGCCTCRTACCTTCTTKTTCTAATTTGGACAGCTGCGCCATCTCCATCCGAGCRTCRAAGATTGGAGCAAAAAACTTCATCTTCTTCCCGTTCTCCAGGTCCAAAATRAACCTAGCCATTGGTACGTCCGGGATCATTCGGACGTAAAACTTTCCCCTCACGGCTGCCTGGATAATATTCGCTACCGCAGTAGGCATCGGCTGCTCCGGGGAAGCTGCGGTATATAGCTSTGCAGCTCCATCTGCGCTACCCCAAGCTATCACTGAAAACGTCTCCTTAGCCGCAATGCACATTATCGGCAGAATTCTGCTCTCAACACTCTCCAGTTGCCCTCGGCTCAGTGCTGTTGGTGTGCGACTCCTCGTAGTCTTCATTCCGGGGTTGCCAATCACCGTGACTCGATCGCCGGATTCCTCCGATCCTGGAATGGAAGTCGTTGAGCCTTCTCTTTGCACATCATGTCCTTCGCTGTCCACTCGTCTATGTTTCCCCGGAGTGCTCCCTCGAATTCTCCCTCCAGGCTGCATCGAACCAGAACGGTCCACTCCCGAAGGAGTATGGCTGGTACTTGGTCCTCCCCTGGTGTCCTCCTGCGGGTTCCCTTGCTTTCCCCCTGGAAAAAGGCATGTTGGACGAAATCCTTGGTAGGGCTGAAAACCTCCTACAAAGCTTGGCTGAGCCATCGGCGGCATGGCTCCTGGTGGTTGCCCCATCGGGAATACCCCTCCGGATTGCGCTAACGCCATCTCTTGAAACAGCTGGGCCAAGAATACATTGGATTGCATGGCTTGTGTTTGAGCCAGGAATGCCGGATTCTGGTAGATGCTAGCATAGTTCATAATCCTGAACGTGGTTGCCAGCTCCCCCCACCGACGAAGCCGCTGGTTGGCCGCTGGCGCCTCCTCTTCCCAGTGTACCTTGATAAACTTGTCGGGAGGAGACCTCTTGTGCCACTTCGCCTCTGCCTCCTTGCCCTCCGGCGTTGCCTTGCTGTTGTCGTCCTCCTCTTCTACATTCATCTGCAGAGTGGAAGAGCGCTCGGCACTTGCGGCAGCGTGGTGTATCAGATGATGCAAGCTTGACTACTAATTCATCTCCTTCGAAAGTGTCGACTGTAATCGAGTCCTTCATGTTTGGCCTGGCCTCTGGGTCGAGGTCAAACTTGATGTTGACTAAGGCTGGTTTCAGCCTGTCTTGCTCTGGAGGATGAGTCATCGTGACTGGACCGATTGCTCTTCGTATGTGAGACTCCAGGTAAAACATGGCATGGAGAGGTACTTGAACAGCAATGACCCAAAAGGTCGTCAGTTCCTCCAGTCTTCGTTGTTCCCTCAGTTGAGCGTTGGTGTGCCACGGCTTAAACTCCAGCTTGTATGTGTCGCCGCCCAATTCCACCTCTGCACTCCTTTTATCTATCAGCCAAGCAAATATCGTCGTGCTCTTTGCCACATACGAGGCGACGTTGAGGCTCTCCAGTTTGACTCTCCCTCTGGTGAATCCTTCGCCGAATTCCCCCCCCTGAACTCTCTTGTCCTCATAGGCTCTGATGAGGTCTTCCTTCACATTTCGTGGGAGAAATCGAGCTGCATCTCTGAAGATCACTGTGACCGTCGGCTCCTTTAGCCACTGCACCTTAAGTCTATCAATTGAGTCCTTAACCTTAAATCTGACATTTCTACCTTGTATCGTCATCTCTCCAGGGTCAATATCCCTGGGGAGAATGCCTTCCTCATAGCATAACCGCAGTAGTTCTCTTACCCTCGTATCATCTATTTCATGATCTCCCGGAGCAGGGGGGGGGAATCTATTCTCCATACCCGGAGCAGGGGGGGGGGGGATCTATTCTCCATACCTGTCCCTGTTTCGGGGTTCATGAGCTCGTATGCTACAGCTTAGGTTTAAGAGATGTGAATAATACGCGTGCGAGGAAGACGGACTCTTAGCTCGAAGAGTGGAAGTTAGTGGCGTGATAGCAGCAGCTGTACGGTGTTGGGGAGTATTCACAGCGAGAAGGAGACGGGACTCTTAGGGTGAAAGGACTAGACTGAGCGATAGGATAACAGTGGTTTCCATTAACCGGGTCTGTCGGGCGGCCGGGCGGCCTGGTGCCTGCCCTACAACGATACCACAGTGACGGTGTGATGAAAGTGAAAGTGAAAATGGTTGATGGGGAAGAAGCAGTGAGACACGTGGCGTCAAAACTATCAGGGGTGTTGGCTCTCGTCAACTCCCTGTTTCCGCTTCAAGGAGCGAAATAGTTGACGTCTCTTCCAGACCGCCGTCATGGTGACTGCGGGAGCTGTTGCCCTCTGTTCGCCGTTACCGGCCGAAACAACGCTTGGTCCGAGCGCAAATTAGCGTCGGCGGAAGCGTTAAGGTCCTTCCCCGTCCCTCTTTTACCATCTTGATAATAAGTACACTCCTTGGAGGAAAAAAGAAAAGAAAAGGAAAAAAAAAACAGGTCTGTGTTGCAACAGCTCATGCGTGTACCAATTGGGCCAGGGCCGTGGGTGCCACTCAGCATCAGCGGGCTTCGCTCCAGTACTCATAGAATGTGGAAAATGATAATGAATGTTCTGCAAGAACATGGGACTATGCACGGCCATATTTTCAGCATCATTGTGTAAAAATGCGAATGAACCTTCTGCTAGAACATGGGACTATATACCGCCCTATTTCCTGTCTTCTGAGCATGTGGCGACTACCGGTAGCGGAGAGAGGCCCATTGTATTCGTGTGATTCCATCATTATTTATCGGTTTTCTATTCCGTAAACAGTATTTGTTAGTATTATTTATTTATTATGATAGAACGCACTATCGCGATGACTGTATCGAATCCGAAAGATACCTTATATTCATTCACGTCCAGATTAGAACGTCGGGACGACCGACCAACATCATTCATAATGATGGTGCTCCGCTTTCTAGTGAAGAATGAGCCTCGCTCCACCCCACTCCTCACAAAATGTGCAAAATGAGAATGAATCTCCCGCGAGAACGTTGGCAGATACACCGCCATATCGTTTGTCTTTTGGGCATGTGACTCGTTGTGGAGAGAGGCCCAATGTAGCGTTCTCTGCACCAGCTGACGGTAACCTGTCCAGAAAAAAAAAAAAAAAAAAAAAAAAAAAAAAAAAAAAAAAAAACCCTTGTCCAGACAACTGAGGACATAACTGCCAGGAAGACCCTCCTACATGTATGTGCCCGAAACTACCAGATTCACTTGAACCCAAATGCAAATCAGGTATGCCTTTATTTAAATTGGTTAGGAATAGGTACGATGTAGGAATTTCCTAGATGAATCTGACCGCAATTGCGCCCAAATGCAGCACAAATGGTTCCAGTGACGCTGACGGCAGTACAATTCTTTTCATTTGGACAAATTCAAATTGGACTTGTAGCATTTGAATGAGATATACCATAATATACCTTTCTCGGCCTTTTGGCTAAAAATAGATCAAGTGTAGTATATCTGTTCTGATCAGTTTAATATCTGTCTCTTATACACATCTAGATGTGTATAAGAGACAGGCGCGAGAGTTAATCTTCCGCTAGAATATGGAAAGGTACACCGCCATGATTGTTGCCTTTTGTGCATGTCGAGGGTAGTGCAGCGAGGCCCAAAGACACCAAAAGCAAACCGATATTTAAAATAATAATAATAATAATAATAATAATAATAATAATAATAAAAAACACGATCCCGAAAGAAAAAAAAAGAACAAACCGAGAGAACACAGAAAAAATTAAAAAAAACGAACAGAAACGACAGAACGTGCGTCGCATGTACACATGTCGAGAGCAGAACTCAACCTATTCACCAGTTTTGTGTTTTTTCTTTTCGTTTTTCACTTTTTTTGGCTGAAAAACCACGTAGTAGGCTAGTACTCATATTAATTAAGCTACAAGTGTCACAGTGTACATTTCCATGTTCTACAGGAAGATTCGTTCTATTTTGCTCATCCTATTGATGGCACCAGTGTGAGGCCAGCCCCCGGGTAGAGTCACCTGTTGGTCAGAGCGTTGCTCATCCTATCAACGGAAGTACCCTCTCTCTCTCTCTCTCTCTCTCTCTCTCTCTCTCTCTCTCTCTCTCTCTCACACACACACACACACACACGCACACACGCACACACGCACACACGCACACGCACACACACACAAGGGAGCAAAAAGCAAAGATGACCTGGGCCACTAGGAGTAAAACGAAAATACATAGGGCCTGGGAAAGTTGGCAAGTACAAGGACATTTTGCAAACATGGACAGTATTCAGTAGGGGTATTTTGCAAAGATGACAGGTCCAACCAACGCCAGGGGCATTTCGCAAAATGTTTTTTTGTATCAGAAGGGTATTCTGCTCTACGCACATCTTTTAGGGGCATTTTGGCATATTTCTCAACTTGTAAGGGTATTTCGCATATTATTATAATATTATCCCTCGTTCTTTTTGACTTTTTTTTTCCCCCCGAACAAAGCAGATATCATATCACTGGGAAACGGGCCCAGCAGCCTTTTTTTTTCTTAACTTTTTTATTTTTAATACAATTGCAATTGCTTGGAAGCGGGCCCCGCGTCCCTTACAAAAATTACACAGGCCCAGGCTTGCTATAGCCCTATTTTGGTTTATTGTTTATTAATTCTATTCAAAGGAATAGCAAAATTAACTGAATAGTAATTAGTAATCTATAGTAATTTGATTTATTGATGTTCAATAGAGTAGTGGCCCGAGTGGGCGGCTGCGGTGCAGGTACACGCTGCAGCAACAAAAACAAACCCAACCCTTCAGGCCCTTCAGGGCAATACAAAGGCCAAAATAAAACACAGCCACTAACCCTATCCTACTGAGCTCTACTGAGGACTACACCGCCCCACGGAAAGATAGTAACAGATGTAAATTTAGACAAGTATTCAGCCTACAGTGGCCCCAAGGACGGCACAAACACATCTGCAACCACTACGGCTTAAACCACAAGTACACGGCCCCAGCCTTGCAGTCCGAAGCTTGTCGCTGCAATGTCGCCACAAGAAATGCCGCCACAAGAAAAAGAGGCCGAGACGTCAAACGCTGTTACGCTGGACCTGCCATTGATCAATTGGATCAGCGATCGCATTTTTTTCGGATAAGCAGTCGCAGTCGCAAGTAGCATTTTGGTTTCGCACCTCCAGAATTTGAATTGGAGGTGTCAGGCCCGAGGCCCAGGTGCCCATGTACTGGTGCTTGAAAACCCTGGATAGAGGGATATTGCAAGGGCCAATAAAAAAAAAATAAAAAAATAAAAAAAACTGACAAGATCAACAGGGAAAGTTCAATGCTTTACATGAAATTCCTATACTTGCAAGGCTAACATCAAGTGCACTGCATCTGTTCTGATCAGTTTAACGTCTGATTCGTCTTCCATCGGGCCACCGGGAAAAAAAAAAAAAAAAAAAAAAAAAAAAAAAAAAAAAAAAGGCTATCCAGGAATACAACAAATAGGGTCTTCTTTTTTTTTCTTTTTTTTTTTTAACAAATAGGATCTCGTTCCACTGCTCACCAAATGTGCAAAAAAAAGTGGAAAATGGCAATGAATCTTCCGGCATTATTTTTTGTTATGTAGTCGAGCGAGGCCCATAGAGTAAAGGGCCTGGCCACACGGCCCACACCCCTGTGGAAACTTAAAAAGCACGAGTGCGCATGTTCCCACAGGGAGTGGCCAGATGCATGCGTGACTATTCTATTCATAGAAACGGATTCATCTTGCCGCTTTCTGGGGAAGATGCACTCGTGCTCTTTTTTTTCTTTTTCTTTTTTTTTGAAAGCATTATAGATATATTGCAAGAAACAATGGGATGAGGCCGGGGACCTCTCACAATTCGACCAGGAGTTATCCTGGCAGCCTCAGCCAGTTTAGCTTACGAGAAAAGCTCGATAACCAACCAACTGCTGAAAATGTACAATCAACCTGCTGGAAACGGGGTCCAGCGTCCCCTAAAAATTAGACACAGCACTTTCCAGGATTCACCGTTGAAGCTCAGCTCAAAAGGAGCTGAGCCTCTCAAAATTAAACCGGCCCACCGGGGTCTTCTTCTTCTTCTTCTTCTTCTCTTTTTAATCCCTGTCTATGGATTGGCCTTCATCTCTACTACTCTACACATGGCTGCTGTTGCATGAGTTCTATCTCTACTACTCTATTCTACTAGGGCCCACCAGGGTCCAGCACCCCATCTTAGACGGAACACTTTCCTAGATTACTAGAAAGGCTCGTTACCCAACTTACCTTTCCCTTTTTTTTTTTTTTTTTTAAAGACCTTTCCCTTTTTTGTAATGCCCGTAGGAACTCTCAGCCACAATGCCTGTCTGAACTTAGGAATATTGTCCCTGTAGCTACAGTCGGCTGAGATAGGCCATACCTACAGTCCGTCTTCCCTCGAATACAACGCACGGTCATTATAGCTGTATGTATTTGGGGCTTCTTTCAGTCTAAATTCAGCTATAATGACCGTACGTTGTATTCGGGGGAAGACTGTAGTCCTCTAGAAGGTCATCTAACCAGGGTAGTAACTCTGTCACCTCGTCCCACAGATGCTTAGATATCGCACAGGAAACGAAGGGCAGGACCCCACAGGACGGCGGCAAACGGTTTGGGAAGTTGGGAGGCAACTTCCGAGACCCCACATACCGATTTTGCCGCGGTGGAAGTCGTCGGCCGACCGTTTCCACTTCGTCCCCGGCCCCCTTATTCCTACGTGGCCCTGAATTCCCGTTTTCCAAAAGTCGGTCTGTTTACCTACCTCCCGGGTGCGTACTCCGGCACATGCGGAAGAAAGTCGCAGCCCTTCCATTACAACCAATGGCAAGGGACCCGGAATGGCCTTCCAGGCCCCGACCTTTCCCAAAAAGGAAAACTGCCCCGGAATTTCCTTTTTGGGTGACGGCCTCCGAAGCAAAAGCAACATTTTGCGGTGGCGGTGGGGTCCCCTCTGTTTCATCATCTCCGTTGGCGGTGGGCAGTCGGCTGGAAGTAGAAGACTTCCGAAACCGTTTACCGCCATCCTGTGGGGTCCTACCCGAAGACGAAACGAGTGCATCTGCCCATGAAAGGGGGCAAAATACACTCGTTTCTATTTATAGCAAACCGATGAACCTGGCCATTTTCTGCAGGAAGATGCAGTCGTTTCGTTTTTCGTTTTGTGTCCCGTGCGGAGACGCCCATTACCAGATGACTTTCAAGTTGGTCGGAGAAGGAAATCCACGTGAACTTTGCGTTCCACCTTGTCAACATTTTTCCTCTGATCAGTGAGCCTGTACGGCTATTTGAGGTACGAAGCTTTCTCCATTCAGTTCAGCAAAAATATTTAAATTGTCTGATAGAATATTTAAATTTGCTCCTGGTCCCCACTCGTGCTCCTTTTTTTTTTTTTTTTTTTTTTTTTTTT